ACAGACATGTTATCTATACATCACAACAAACAGAGACAAAAATGTCATAAAAAGCATACCAACATACACTAAGTACAAAAAAGATAAATTACTTATGTTGCCTGTTAATATTATACATCATTAGACACTATACAACATTTCTTCAGCTAATTTAGTAGCTATTTCTTTTTATCAGATACTTGATCAATAGCCACTGTTCTAGGCAGTATTAAAGGGGCTATTATGAGGCATTTTATGACCTCTTGACTGACTCTGTGTCAGCATGATCCTCTTTTTGATGCTGCTGTATATGTTGAACTTTGATCTCTTTGCATGTCTTAAAGGGATACATCATATTCAAATGCTGGATTGGTATGCCCTTGTCTGTGCCGATTCCGAACCTCTTCAAATATTTGGAGAACCTTAGGGTTAGAGGAAAATGAAAGACATCAACTTTAGAAAACATTTTAAAATAAAACAATTTCATCTCCATAAAGAGGACAGGAGCAATTGTATATTTATTACCTTGGATTTTGGAATGAGGCCCACTCTGAAGAAACCAATTTGTCCAGTTTCAATCTTGGTGCAGTCAACCACAGTGGATGCAATATTCTCAGGGGAGGGTCCATCACACAGCACTCCTTCAACCTTAACAAAAAGTCCAATATTCATTAGATAAACACAACAATGTTTTCTTTTTTTTTAAACTGAAGTTCTTCTCCATACTAACTCATGATTATTACCTTTTTCCCCAGTTTGGCATAAACCTGGTTATGGTGAGTTGTATCTGCCTCGCCTGTTGGGTTGGCTGAGGTTACTGCGATTGGGCCCACCTTTTAGAAATAGAAGATAGTCAATCAATAACGAGTTTGTAACATTATTTTTAATCACAGTAAAATGGAAATTACCAAACTAATCAGATGTGAGGCTACTGCACAGTCTGGGCTCCTGATGGCAATGCTTTGTGGAGTCCCAATGTGTTTGGCAGCATCTCCCAAACCAAATATGTCCAACCATGGTCCTGTCAAAGGCAGCCAACAAAACCCATTAGATAAACATCATGAACTCAGTTTTCACACAGTTTTCCCTGAAAAATAAGAAATCACTCACCTCTGGGAATAACCATGCTGATAGAGGACGGCCATGCAGCCTCCATGAAGTCCAGGAGCAGGGGACTCAGCAGGTGTCTAACAGGGTCCAGCTGCTTGACAGAAGAGATCCACATGGACATGGGTCGGTCCTCAGCCTGCTTCTTAACTCTGAAGTCACACAGTAATGGTCAGTGACAGAAAACCAAATAAAAAAGATGCTCAGACAAAGTTTTACAACTATGAAGCCTACTTGTAAGCTTTGACGACTGCATCTGGTCTGTTGCAGGCAGCCACCAGCACATAGACAGTGTCAGTCGGCATTCCACATATGCCTCCATTTTTCATGATTTCTACATCATAGAAATGCAGAGTGGAAGAAAAATGTGGATATCAGGTCATACATGTAAACAGAGTACACTAAAAAGTATCGACCCGATCTTCTCACCTGCAATCTGCTGAACTGACGTTGCTTTGCGAGCTGGTACGTGTGGACAGACCCCTTCCCCTCCGCCTACCCCACCCAGATTGACTAAAGGTCTTCCTAAGGGGATTTGAGGAGACTGGAAGGTACTGTTAAAAATGTGCGCCAAGAAACAGTAAAAACTGACAAGACCAAAGATGATTGTGACGCCAATATCATAACCGTAGGGCAGTGCACCAACCGCATCCAATAGGAAGCTGATGAGGATGAGCTGGAAGGTGAATGCGTAGACAAACCAGGCAACATTAAGAAATATTGCTGCAATTGTCAACAGGACGTTAAACATCATGAAACCAATAATCCCAACAGCAACATTGAAGCCTCTGGTCTCACTGTAAAGACCACCGAATCGTGTCAAGCCCCACACCGTCCACATCAAACCATAGAGAATAAAGGCGGTGCTCTCCAGAGTTTTACCCCGAGCAAATGCCACTGAACCACACAGAAGCTGCAACACTCCACCAGCCATCACTGCCCAGGGCAAAACCAACACAGTCAGAGGATTCCTGTCCCCAATCGTGGCTGTGATGGCAAAAGCTGCCAGAACATTGCAGGCATGGCCCAGCACTTCTGCATCTGCATATTTGGAGTATCCAAGGTGAGGTGTATGCCGGTCTTTATCAGGAGCCCTGAGAGTAAGACTGCGAATTCTGGTTATTAAAGCTTTGAAGTGTCCCTGCCCAGTAGGAACTTTGGTACTGGAGACCATGTTGAATGTTGTAACAAAAAGCACTCCAGCAGAAGCTACAAAGATAGCTCCTTGTACACCCTGAGTGCCGCCTTGGTAGAAGCCTTGAGGTTGGGCTGCAATGGAAATACAAATAGGCTACAAAGAATAACTGGTAGAGGCCATCCAACAAGCTCTTCTGACAGCTGAACAGCGAGGACGGAGAAAAGAACAGCAAAGACAACAGGGAAGGGAACCGGGAGAACGGCTGAATGGAGTACAATGATAACAGAGCGCTGTAACCCTCAGCAAATTTTAGCAAAGCTGTAAAACCATAGAAAGTCGCAGCTAATGTGTCCATTGCTCGGTAACAGAGGACACACATGCCAAGCTGGAAGACTCCAGCTGTCCAGAGCCAGGGGACATGGCCAACAGAGAGTTGGGGGACCACACCTACCAGGGGACAGGCTAATACAGAGGCAGATAACAAGTTCATCACCAAACCTACACTAATTACATCACTGCAGCTCTGGTTCTGCTCTGGTTCAGTTCAGATTTCTGTTTCATGATTGTTCCTGGAGGTTTCACTTTGCCCTGTGTGATGGTGTACAGCAAACGCCCAAAGCCAAAATAGGCACACACAAGACAAAACAAGGAGGTAGTTTGCAGCTGTGGCAGACTGACCGAAGCCTGAATCTGACAGACCAGCGATTGATGGGCACAAGCTAAGGAAATGCTGACAGCGATGACCAGGAGAACTGGTGTCTTTACAAAGAGGGCTGCAGTGCCAATGATGAACAGGGCTAAGGTAAATGCTGCCAGTCCAGGAATGAGAGAGGATTTTAGCTCTGTGAGAGGCAACACTCTCTGTCCTATCAGGATGTGGACCAGACCCGACCCACACCACAGCGCAGAGACGGTCAGACACAGAGTGGAAAACAGTCGGGATTGGGACAGACTGTGACGGACACCTAGAAAGATACAGGACAGGGTCAGGAGGCTGGAAAAGGCAGAACATTCTAATCTGTGAGGCGAAACAAACCTGTGTAAGATATCAGGGCAGCAATGATGAGGAGTAAAATCCCCAGTGCAGTGTGGGGGATGAAGTCTTTCTCAGGAGTGCTGGCATAGCTGTTCACCAGCAGCAGGAGAGAACCTGAAAATGAGATCCACAGCTATTATTTGGAACTAATTTAATCAAAGCAGTGCTCCTGGAATAAAGAAGAGAGAGCAAAAGTATTGATGCCCACAAACCAAGCACCAATGGAACATTTTGTCATGAAGCTGAATTTTCCGCATTCGTGGTGACAAAAATCCAAACACAAGAACATTTTTGATTTTCCACATCAAATGTGAACACATTTTTACAAATAAGTAAAGTAATAAAGGCACTTTTATGATTTCATTTATTTATTTCTGGTGGATTGATAGTGCTGCGACGGACTGGAAACCTTTCCTCTCACCCAACGTCAGGATGGATTTATGACAGATGCTTTCCTGTCATATGAAATGTTAAATCAACTCTGTAGAGATATTAAAAAACATGTTTTTAATCACAATGCAATGTCACTTTTGCATTTCAGTTTTATAATCATTTGTGTAACTATATCATATCTTCAAAGATAATTTGAGAAGTGAGACCTCTCACGCCAAAATATAAAGGAAGAAGAAAATAATAAAATAAAGGAAGAAAGAAAGAATAGGAGAAAGAAAGAGAGAAAGAACATCCAGTCAAAGCGTTTCTTTTTTTCCTCCTGAGTCCTGAAAATACTAAGAAGTTCTATTGAAAACAACCAAAAATACAATAAAATTATTTTTTTATATCAATAATATAATCAGTATTATAAGTTTTTACATAATGAATATAAACACCAGTTTCAGTTTTTGAAATGTTTCGGAAAACCAATTAATATGTGCATAGAAATGGCAGACATTCATTCTGATCGTCTTATGTTCATTAAAAGCTCATCGAGTTGAAAAGGGATTTAATCCCCAAGGAAAATGAAAAAAGCCGAAAAGGGAGAAACTGGAAATTCACTTTGCATGGAGAGCAACGAGGCGTCAACTTCCGAATGGATGTTTGCTTGGCGTAAAAAGAAAATACCTCAAATATCAGGAAAAAAAAAGACAGAGAAAAAATACATACAGAACGAACACGGAGAAAGGACGCGACATAAACTTGAAGGCTTACCTCCTAAGATACCAAGGATGCCGACGGACACATAGGCTGAGTTGAACCGAGCCATAGCGGCGGCTGTGCTGCTCTGACGATGTGAGGATGTGACTTTTATACAGGTGAGTCACGTTGACACCCCCGGGGGACAGTAAACAGTGGAGAGCTGCGCCTACCTGGGAAAAACCACAGCGGTGGGACGACAAGAGGACAAGAGGCTGTTCTCCAATCAGATAAGCCGACTGAAAAAATGTGATACTATACAACAACAACAACAACAACTAATAATAATAATAATAATATTTTGAAATCTTTTGTTGATTTCCTCTTGAATGGCAGAACACATGCTCCTAAAATTAGACGTTTGTGGCTCCTGATTCATTTCCTCTTTACTGAAACATATTCCATATAACCACACCCGTGCCGTTAGATGAGTGTTTAATGTCTTTTAATAGTATCTTCACAACTGGGAGCTCATAATGATTCGGCATTTTAGGGCTCAGGATCAACTATTAAACTGGTTTTGGTAACTTGATGCCAGTGACGTCAGAGTCTCGCGCAGCGTGCTGGTTGGTCGGGAAGATCCAGCGAGCAGGAAGGGGATGATAAAAAGCCGCTCGCTCGGAGCTCACCCTTCAGATCAACACCGCTGTTCAACAGGAGACGCACTGCGAGAGCTAAATAAGGTGAGTAATATAGTCTCTTGATCCGTTTGCCTTCGATGTATGTTTAAAAAAAAGTAAACGCAATTGATTACAAGTTTAAGCGAATTAGTTTTTTTTTTTTTTTTTTTTAAACAGCAAACTGAATTAAAAACTGTTAATGTCTAAGTCTGCGGCTTCCTATTAAAATATCACATGAACTGTCAGAAAGTTAATATTTGTATATTTCTAGTTGCTTAATTTAATCAGTGATCAGATAAAAAACAAACAAACAAACACAAAAAAAAAAAAAAAACAAGAAAAAAAGCAGGGTTTTTTGGGTAACAACAACAAAAAACACATTAGTGTTTCCAGACATTTATCCACAAACTGGTTACAGGAATATTTTTTTTTTCTAAGTCTAATAAGTCCCTTTTCTGAGTACTGCCTGCCTACCTGTGACTGCTTGTCCAGGTTAGTATTTGAAAATGCAACATAATTCTGTCAACGCCTCTACTGACTACGAAGGAACAGTAGAAAGTGTATTTCTATTTTAAATTCAACCTGCTTCACCAATGACTTGCTTGTATTTTATTGGTCGCTTTTTCATGATCTGTTGGAGTTTATAAAAGATGCACTTATAGAAGACAGAGTTATGTGCTCCTTTGATTTGATTGGATATTTTTCTAGGCACCGTTTTCTAGAACCCGAGGCTGACTGTGCGATGGCGTGGCCGGAAGAATTGCATAAGCATACAGTAATTAAAAGTAGCTTCCCCATTATATGGTGAATGGGTTACCAAACCTAAAAGCAGGAAGGACATCCTTTATGGTTCTCCTCTGCATTTTGGAGGAAGCAAGTCTGTCACTAAACCTGCTCCTACGATGATCTGTTGTATGTTTTTGTTTCTATATATTTTTTTTCTACATACCTGCACACCACAAATGATGGTGAATCTCACAGGCTGATCATAACATATATGTTACGATCAGCTCAGTCAGATCCTTCTTGCACATGGCCTCGACCTTGGTTGACCACTCCAGCTGATTCTTCAGTTATACTCCTAAATATTTGTATGACTGATGAACATTGTAGAGAGTGGGGAGTTATTTCTTTTGAAATTTATCACCAGAGATTCCCAGATGATCCTCCAAATACCGTCTCACAAAGTAGACTCATCAGATTCCTCCTCCCACATGAAATATGACTTCTCGTCTGTGAATCTGAATCACGCCTCACATCTTTACACCCAGACTCCAAACCAAGTTAAAAGTTTTGGATTTTTGAAGTCCTCATCCCTGAATAAAGACAGAAAAATGTCTCCTCAAACATAAGAGAAAATATATCACATTGATGTTCTCCTCAGAGCATCTTTGGTTTAAACTGCAACACTAAAATAAATGTTGAATTAATATTGCTAAGAAGTATTAATTTGGACAAAAACACATTTATTGCTGCCAGGTTTTGCTGCTACCTGCAAGCAGCAGCTGCACTGCTGAGACTCGTTTCTCACCTGGCTCTGTAAATGTTTCATGTGGACATGCAAAAGTGCCAAGTGGCTGTCACCAGTCTGTCCATACTGCCAATGGGGAAACAGAAATTCAAACCTCACCATGAATGATTAAGAACCAACTTGCCACCTTGAAGAGTCTCCTTTTGACTAGACGAACCTGTCTTTGTGCATTTCTTAGCAATCATGGTGAAGCGTGTTGCAGTTATTCTGTCTGGCTGCGGCGTCTATGACGGCACAGAGATCCACGAGGCCTCTGCCGTCCTGGTCCATCTGAGTCGCGCTGGAGCAAAAGTAAGGACAAAAAAAAAGTGTCTTTATCTGTCAGAAATATTGTGTTGATATAAAACCAGCAGAGGTTAATGTTTCTTTTAGTTACCATATTGGTTGTTTGGTCTCAGGTGCAGATGTTTGCCCCAGACGATGATCAGATGGACGTTGTAAATCACTGCAAGGGGAACGCTACTGAGGAGAAGAGGAACATCCTGCAGGAAAGCGCTCGTATCGCTAGGGGCGACGTGACTGATTTGGCCAAGCTGGATGTCTCAGCGTTTGATGCTGCCATCATTCCAGGTGAGATGATCTTCTATAAACTCAGAGGAAGACGTGTGCAGTTCCTCTAATGTTTAATGTCTGTCTCTGAACAAACGCCTACTTTCTCTATCAGGAGGGTTTGGTGTGGCTAAGAACCTGAGCGACTGGGCTTCAAAGAACAAGAGCTGCACCGTCCAGCCACATCTGGAGAAGATCATCAAGGATTTCCACAAAGCAGGAAAGCCTCTGGGCATGTGCTGCATTTCCCCTGTCCTGGCTGCAAAGCTGCTGCCCGGCTGTGAGCTCACCGTGGGGCAGGACAAAAAGTGTGAAAAGTGTGTAAATCTCTGTTCACGTTCAGTAAATATGTTAGTTCATTGGATTTTGTGTGATCATTCACTTGGTTTTTATCTTCAGGTGGCCGTTTGCTGAGACGGCTGGAGCTCTGAAAGACATGGGCTGCAAACACGTGAACAAAGACGTGGATGAAGCTCACGTTGATGTCAAGAACAAGCTGGTCACCACCTCTGCCTTTATGTGCAACGCTCCCTTTCACAAAGTGTTTGATGGAATCGGCGTCATGGTTCAAGAAATACTGAAACTTGCCTGAGAAGATTGCTATATGTAATCAGTTCTATTTATTTTCACCAGCAAATCAGGAGAGATACTGTAATATTTAATCAGAAACTCCAAGTAAACAAATGTCAGAGTGAAATTCTAAATAAAGTGTTTTCTGGAACTTACAGCTTTGGGCATATTTTTCTTCATACAGTCAGTGACACAACAAATTTGGTCTGAGATGCCAACCTCTTATTGCTCTACAATGTGTGAAGTGAGTGATTTATTCAGATAATTTAGCTTTTCATGATCTTGATTGTTTTTTTTTTTGTTTTTGCATATATAAAAAGAAAAAAAACTTAGCTTTGTTAATAGATGTTTGAGTGTCACTGCAAAGCTTAGTTTTTCTTAAAGTTAATGACTTGTGTCTAAAGAAGATGCAGTTAATATTAAAGTTTAATTTTTGTTTCTTTATTTTTTTGTTTTTGCAAAATCAATGGTGCCAGACCTTTTGAGACCCCCTATAAATTAATAGTTGTGGAAACATTTCTTTACATTGCATCTCAGTGTCTAGGATCTTTAAATCAGTAATTCCTGACTTCCTGTACTAGTCAGGTAGATATCTTCGACCAAGACTTGCAGTCATTGGATTAGCATTAAATGAAAACTTTAAAAAAGCTGGAAATATGACACAAGATTGGATACATTGATGTTGCTACGACATGCAACGTGAGGAAATTAAAAAGTTGTAGAGTGCTCCTTTAGATTCATCAGGTTTCCAAACAACCAATTTTATGACGTCTATATGTCCACTCATAAAATAAAGGATGAATCTGGAAAACATCACGGCCAAAATAAGCCCTTCTCAAAAAAAAAAAAAAAAAAAATAAAAAGAAAGACTTGAGACTCAACAACAGCTATTCAAAGCATGTTGTCAAATTGACCAAGAATTGAGTCAACTTTTCCAAGTTGTAGCATGCAAAATCTTTGAAAAACTGTTGTTGTGAACATTTTCTAATTTTAATATGGATACTTTTACACTTTAGTGGTAAAAGTACACACCAAACATGCAGTTAACTACTGGGACATGCACAGTTGAACATGAGGTGATTCTCTTTTCAATCTGTGAAAAAAAAATGCCCTTTTTCAAAAAATCTTCTTCACAGTGTGTCAAGTGTATTCCACAAAATTTCTGAATTTTAAAGCCTAGATACGCTTCTTTATTAATTTCCTTTAATAAAGAAAACTGTTCAGTCAAAGTGGCGCATATAAATTAAATTGTGTTTCTATGTGAAGAAACTTGATACAATGATGAAGATTATTTTAACATGAAAATAATATATCATAATAGCAACCTGCAGAAGAGTAGATGATTCTTCTTCTGTCTGGATATATTCTGTGCTGCTAGTTTCATTTTGAAGCTACCGGGAGGTTTGAACTCAAATATGTATTTTTTCATCTTCCTTTGTTTTCAAGGCTAGAGTTCTGTAAATTTACTGATTTTTAACCACATGCACATGTGAAGAAACAAATGTGTGATTTAAGAAAAGAAAATGAGATTTCAGCATGTTTTTTTTAATTCTTTTAATAATATTTAAACATGCTTTAGCACCTTCAAAGAATAAGTTTACCAGACAAGGGTTTAATTTAGAGTCAGTGATGTATTGTAGTCCATATACATAATTCCATACAAACACTAAATAGACATTTGATTTATCAATGAGATGTTAAAGCAGTTGTTGTGAAGAGTTCACTAATCCTTCATGTGCTTTTGTTGGAGAAATGGTGGAACTGGTCCACCCCACAGACCAACTTCGTTGCATGAAATTTCCTGGGACGATCAGGATCCTAATATTAAAACAGAAGGGAAAAAAAAGTTATTAGAAATGAAAGGTAAGTTCTCTAAAAGAACCACTGGCTAAGAAAATATGATTGTCTCTCACCTCAGTGGGGTGGGCGTAGGTGGGAACATAACGGATCACAAAGCCACAGCGCCTCCTTTGGGAAGTGTTGGCATCACTTGCATGAACAAGAAGACCATCATGAATCTGGAAGAAAATAAATATTTGATTGACATAAACTTGTTTTTAGAGCAATTTATAGCAGCAAAGATTTATCACAAAAAGCAAATAAACCTACCGACATCTGTCCGGCTTTCAGAGGACAAAGCACAGCTTCGTCCGCCTGCACCAGCTCCTCTGGGATCTCCTGGTTGACTGACAGCAGGTTCCCAGGGCGGGTTGCTTGGCGATGGAGCAACATGCCAGAGCAGTGGCTTCCTATAAGAGACTGATGTTAAATACGTAGAGCACACAGCTGGCCTGGACTGCCAGTGATAACTTAATAATGCAAAAAACTAACAAATTTAACATACCTGGGATGACCTGAAGGGCTCCGTTTTCTTTTTGCGAATCATCAAGAGCAAGCCACACAGACAGAACAGGTCCACCAGCAATACCCCAGTACCTGTGAACACCACGCTCTTAATCATGCAACACAAAAAACAAATCACTTCAAACACTTTATTTTCCTCTGGTAAGTCATATTCACCTCATGTCCTGGTGCCAGGCCACATAAGGGAGCTCATCTTCCCCCTCAGGTTTGCTTTGAGCTGTTTTGCTCTGCTGGAGTTTGGCGGGTTTGACTGTCGGGTATTTGCAGATAAATCGAGAGTCCAGCAGAATGACGTCAGGTCCCAGGATGGCTTGGATCACTTGCAGGATGCGGGGATGTGTGGTCAGATTCATCACCCAGGGGTACTGAAGATGAACATTGTGGAGGCTGTACTGTGTGTACTCTGTACCTGTTTGATATATGAAAATACATTGTTAGAAAAAAAAAGAGAAGGAAATCGGATTCATCTGCTGAAACAAAGTATTGGATATGTCAACAGTTTTCTCAGAGAAATATGTCATCATGACAAAGATGATGACTTTGTCATGAACATTTGATAATGTTCTTTCATCAAAGAAGAACATTAAAATTATGGCTGATGTGCAACAAAATTAAGTTTATTAAATCTACACAGAAAGTATTTATTATATAAGAAAATGTAATGTGAAAGAAAAAAATTATTTAACATTTGTATATGGATAGATGAGTTGTTTATTGAAAAATTGTTTCATTTAATCACTCAAACATCATACTTGATGAATATAGCATGCAGTATTTGCTGGTGTTTTTATCTTGATATTGTTAAATTTTCTTTCTGTGTAATTTTCGAGTAAAAAAAAAATACAAAAATTGTCTTTTGTAGCACTATGGCAACATGCACATTTTCCTATGATCAGTTTGTTACATTTTCGGTTCAACAACACAAGCATCTGGAATAACAGAATAGAAGACTGATCCAGAAATGGTTAGCCCTTTTATCCCAGACAGGTCATACAGTTCGATGGATGAATCATTCTTCAGATGAAAAGAGGAGTGATTTTCAAACAGTCAAGTAAACTTTGACCTGTCAGAGAAATGATGTGAAGCTTACAGGAGAAACGCCCCCCTAAACCTCCAAGGTGTGTGAAGAATGGATAAAAGTCTCATGTTTGCGATGTGTACATTTATTTTCTCCATGTAAGAGATGTCTTGAAATCACCTTTGCCAGTAATGGCTTTTCTACTAAATAATAAATAAATGTTACATCCTCTATGCTATTACAATTTTGTTTCCATTTTTAATATATGAACTTTATGATTTTGGTTTCTTTGCATATGTGAATTACTTGGCACTTGTTGCAAAAGTCATATCTGTCCATCCCATTACAGCTACGTTGACTGAAAAAAGCATTGCTGTGCTTCCATAGAAATAAACCAGTGACTAAACAAAATAGTCAAATGATGCTTTATACATCTTGCACAATCTGATTCTTTTACCTCCCTTTGCATTCTGTCTATTAGATTTTATCTCAGTTCTCTGTATCTTGCTCAATCTCTGAATTTTTCCTTGAATTCCCCCTCCCTTACATACCAAATTCCTCCTCCAGCTTCGCGAAGGCATCCCTGACCTCCCTCAGCTCTGTCTCATCCAGCACAGGCAGCGCTGAGAGGAAGCCCTTCTCGTTGTAGCGCTCCTGTAGTTCAGCTGGAGATGGATTCATCGTTGGGTTTCCCTGCTGATGCTTCCAAGGTTGGTGAGATGTTGACTGAAGGTGAGGTTTAAAAAGCTGAAAAGAGTTTAAGGTCAATAAATGCCATTAAAGGTGTGCCTTCAAACTGACCAGGCTTTGGTAATTTGCTCATTATAAAGAACATGCACTTCAAAATAAGCACACCGCAGCACTTGTGCTGAGTTTATAACTCATTACATGCTTGAATCAAGTTAATTGGACTTATAAATCTAAGAAACTATTTCCATGCGCACTAAAAATGACTCTGAGACTGCAGAGACATAAAACTCCTTAAATCTTTCTGTTGTCTAATTCCTGCAAAAAACCTGAACTAAATATTTTTGATTTACAAATAATAATGGAACATTGTGAAATGGGGCAAAATTTTATGTTTTGTTTAAGTAGAATATAATCCTGCACAGTATGAACTATAACTACAGAAGAAAGTGTCTCTTCCTACCTGTTGTCTGCTCAGTCTCCCAGTAAGTCTGGATGCTGTCTGGCTCTCATCTACCATATATACTCCACAGCTTTGGAAACGCCCACCACTGTGACATCAATCTAAAATTCATAAACTACTCAAACACCCTATGTCACCATGTTCCAGGAAAAACTCACCATACCTGTAAAATACAAAACAATTACATAATTCAGGTGTGTGGTGGCTATTTAGAAACATTTCTTTGATCTACATGACTTCTGTGTTATGTCGTCTCTATCTGTTTACATCCTGTTAACAGAGCATACCTTGTGATTCATACAGTTTCTGTTGAAATCTGAAACAATAGATGTCAAAGCTGTCAAAGTCTGGTAGATCCAGATTGAAGTTCCTCATCATCTTCCTCACCACACCTTCACACCAGACTATCATTTAGTTTCATGTAGAGTGAAAAAAAACACCAATCAGTGACAAATTAACCCCACCAGTACAAAGATGTTTCATTATGAAACTTTGAAGAAAAAAACCATCACAAAATGAAAATAGAAGTTATTAAAAGACTGTGTGGTGACTGCTGGAAATCTGGTGACATCTCATTGTTTGAATGATAAAAACAAAATGGATCCATTACCTCTGTTCTGTGATGACATTTATCATCCTTATAAATGCAAATTTTAATACATCCATTCATTAAATATACATCAAGTTTATGTCTTTTATGTAATTCAGTTTTAAACATTTCCTAAGGGGGAATTGAATCTGTCTTTTTAATAATTTCCTTACTTTTCCTACTTTAAGACTAACGTGAGGAAATCAGTGTCTTCACGAAACCGTTGTCTGATAATATGCAAGCAGTTTCTGACATTAAATTGTATGTTTTTTCACATTTGTATGTAGTTGGTCACACATTCAAGACCACTTTCTAATTAAGACTGGTTCTGATTATTTAGATGTGCTAAAATGATGAAGGCTGAACATTTTCCTTTTTTGCATATGTCTAACAAAATATCCGTTCACACCAAAAACAGTTCTCTTTTTGTTTTTTTCTTGGCATTTACAGATTAATGACGCTGGATCACTTCTCTCAACAAATAAATGACGAAAAATAAATTGTTAACGTTTTAGTTTACAATTTGTTTTATTTGATCAAATACTAAATAAATTGTGAGTGTTGAAAATAAAATCACATAAGTCAGAAATGTAAGAAAATCAAAGAAAACTGGAGACCCATCTTCATTGTGCACACTTGTTTAATAAAACATATGTATGTTTGCCCAGCAAAAGTGTTTCACATGAGAAGTTGAAGGGTGAAACAAACATTGTAGTTGAAATAAACATAAAGTTCTTGACATAGAACAAGAAATAAAAAATAAATGGCTTTAATATGAAAACTAAATTCAAAAGGCAACCAGTGATTACCTTAGTACAAAAAAATAATTTATGAAAATGACTGGTATTTTCACAAGGAAATACTATTGTCCAAAAATGCTCGGTCAAAAGGAAAAGCTATGACATCTTTTACTGTCAGAACCAGTCCCCTTGTAAATATTTTGAGGAAATAGTTTAAAGAAAAAATTCCCCTCACCTCATGCTGTTCAACTTGATTCTTTAGGTCATTGTTTTACATTTTCGTGACCTGCTACCAGGAAACAATTGCAGAAATCTTAACAGAAACAAAGCAAACATTAACAGCCCTTTTCAAAAAGCAATTACTCATCCTTTCCTCTCTGATCTTATCACATTATTCCAAAAATATTTCACAAAAAAACTTTCCATACAATGCTTGCACAAACAGTAATTCTCAACAGAATTATAATTGACTTAAATGCAACAATAGGCCAACTTTGGCTATGAATAATCATTAATGGGTGTCAAAGGTACATAGTTACAAAGTTAGTAATTGTTATCATAATGACCAAGTCAAGGCAATGTCTAATTATCAGAAATTAATAGCCCAAAGGCTCTAAGTTTCAGTAAATTACGGGTTTCTGAATATCTTACTAGGGACGTTTGGTATGAAGTAACAATTGATGACGGATTAAGTTCTGGATTGACATTCCCAAACAGCACACTATGCACACACATACAGAATAATCACACAAAGTATTTGTGTGATGTCAGAATTTATTGACAAAGCCCTTAATCTTGTTTGTTTCAACTCATTGAATGAACAAAAACTAGCCTGGATTGAAGAGCCTCAGATGGAGCACAAGAAACAAAAATGAAGCAATACAGCCTTTTTTCAGCAGCACAGTCTCATATTATACTATAACGACATAGAAATAGTTTTAACAAACAACATTTTTTTAAAGAAGTCGCATTAGGCATCTTGAAGAGGTACAAAAGTGAATAAAATAACTAAAACTGAAAACGTTTTAGTCATAATAAGAGTAATGTACTCATACTTCCTTTTTACAACACTGCAGCATTTGCACACTGTGCAGGCTCCTGATAAACACATCACTAATCCCAAAATAGAACAAGTTACAGTAATCTTGCCGTAAAGTAACAGCTGCTCCATTTACTTTTGTCATGACTGGTTTACTTTTTGTCATAAGGAAAATTATATGTCAGAGTTCAGTGATTTAACACACAAAATTAAATAAAATCAGACACAACCTTTATTTTAAAAACAGATCAGAGGCTCGTCTGAAAACAACAAAAAAAAGAAGCTTAAGTTTCAAGGCGAACTTGAAAGTCCTTCAGAAATTTATACCAAAAGCTCCTGAATTTAATGTTGATTTTTTTGAAATAGATGAATTTGCTTTATTGTTACTCAGATACTTTTAAAGACACCAGCCATGATGATAAATTTAGAGCTGGAATGATTCATAGTGTGTTAAGCCTGATTTTCCACAGTTTTCTGAGAACAAAGAGGTGTGTGTTGCTCTTTCCTGTTGACTTTTTATTCTCTTGCCGCCCCCTAGAAGCTGTGGCTCATTACTGCAATATAAAATATCTGTCAGCACTTCTCTCTACTGTAAAAATAACCCCTGAATTACAATAAGTTCTTATTTAAATATTCTTTTGCAATTATCAACACAATTCAGAGTCTTAAAGAGTTAATACTAGTTTAAAATTAAAAACTTATTTAAAGACACCTAACAAAATTCATCTTGTTGATGGAGACTCACCAGTTTGAGCACAACCTGAACGCAAGCTTCATTCAGTAACAAACAAAAGCAGATTTGAAAAATGTTTTCATTTTGTGATTCCATTGATCTCAGTTTGAGTTGATCCACATTGCCCTTAAGATTTGCTGCTGTGTATATTTGTGGTTTTTGCATAATTTTACTGTCTGGTTTGCAGCTGTGTAAGAAATTGTAATTATATTGAAACTACATTCTGGGAATGAACTGATCTTCCACCTGATGGCGCAGTTCTCCATCTTGTTGAGAGTTGTTTGCAGGCAATTAATATTAATATACCATAAGTAGAAAATTATCCAACCTTTCAGGGTCTTTAATCATTTACCCTTGGGAGAATTGCTAAGATCTAATATTTCATTCACACAGAACAAAGTGAACCTAGTTCAAGGTGTTAGAAAAGATAATTTATGTCACCTAATCTATAATAGCTTGTAAATACATGCAATATTTGCCACTTTTTCAAACAGAGAATGATTCTCTTTCAAGATGTTTTTAAAAGGGGCATTTTTTTACTGATGATCCAGTCATTAATTCATACTCTTTATCCCGTTTCCTTTAAAAGCTTCAAGAGACTGGTGGGTTCATCAAGCTAAAGAAGTTTATAAGATATGATTTACTTGATAATATTCAGAGAAGAGTGATGATCTAAGGCAAAACGAAAGAGACAGCTCCACATACTGCAAAGAATGCAGAAGAAAATATAAATACTATAACAAAGAATTATGACAGCAGTTGTTTGTATATAACTTTATGGTTTATTGATAGATTTTTGTGATGTATTTATTTTTCTAATATTTGAAAACATATAAATATGCAGCAGTATGATGTACACAAACAGATAAATCAGATTACAAGAACTCCAGAAAAAGAAACATTTCTGTGAATGTAACTCTTAAACAGAATAATTTGAATTATCTAGAGAAGTACGAAGATGATAAAATGTACAAATAAGTGTTTATTGATGACAATGAAACTCATCATTTAATGATATATATTAAATATATTTGCAATATATCTTCATTGCAGCTGTGAGAGTAAGTCGTGGCAGTCGTCAAGTCTGTCCAGCCCGTCCACCGCCTCAATTAGCCGCTCAATCTTTGCTGATGGAAGCACCACCTCTGCGTTGTTCCTGAACTTCATCCTCAGGCTCTCGTTGGTCAGCGGGTTGCGCCAGTGGCCGTAGAAGGTATCACAGCGTCCCTTCAGAACGTCTCCTCCCACAAGCGTCACCTGGACCTCCCCGTACATCAAGTGAAGTTTGCGGGTTGTCGTGGGGATGCTCCAGCCGACGCGGCTCAACGAGCGTGGAGCTCGGGGCGGCTAATGGCGCCTGGCGTGAAGGACTGGACGGTCACCTCACCATCCAGGAGAGCGCTGCAGGCGTTAAACTGGAAGGAGTGGCGAGCTTCATGCTCTGACTCAGGAAAAGGCCTGTTGATGTACTTAGAGAGCGGGACTCTGAGCAAGATGTCCTGGACTTGATCTGGAGAGACCTTTCCAGGACCACCCACTAGAAGCTTATGGACAGAAGCTGCAGCATCTGCCCACCCAGTGCATCCCCAGATGGGCGGGGAAGCGTTTGAAGCCCATGTCCTGCTCCTCTAACAGGAATGCTATGACCATCATGGGGTGAATCTAAGGGCTGTGGCATGTATCTTCATAAAAAGCACTAAAGCCTGCTACTCCTGCAACAGCATCCAACACAGAGGACTGGCCTCGAGGCCTCTGGATGCCAGCAGTGCAGCTTCAAGCCCAAGGCGGGAGGCGTTGCCGATGTGGAGGGGTTTAGACTGAGTGGCAGCGTTAGCCATGGGAAGCTCCAGCCAAGGAAGCAGCTATCGCCAAGGCATGACCGCACTGAGAGGAATCCAGAGACAGGAGGCGAGCACAGGCTGCTGCACTTCCCATAGGACCGACCACAGTGGGAGGATGAAACCTGACAAAGGACACACACAGACCTGAATATCTACTGCATAAACATATTAAGTATTTTAAGAGAAAGTCGTATTTCAATATACACCTTGTCAATCAGTTCTGATTGCAGTGTTCAGAGAACCTAAAAATGTGATGATGCGAAGGAAACTTACATATTTAATCATCCCAAAAAAGCCTCCAAGTTAAATATGAAAAGTTGTTTTCTCCACTACTTCAGTGTTTTTATGTACCCAAACTGAAAGGATTGAAACATCGTCATAAATTTTGCTGATGAAAACCACATTTCTGATCTGATTGAACCTGGGATGAGCTTTACCTATTTCAGGAAGGAGCAGTGTCAACAGAAAAAGCTCCAGTTAGCCAAAGACACCCAAAGGTACCACAGTTCAGAGACAAACCCAAGCATATAAGTAAGCAAAACATCTCTGAGTTTCTGCGCTGAGGAGGGGAAAAACACTATGAAGCTATGAAAGGCCTCACACATGTGAAGTGTGTGAGGCCTTTGTTGGGTTTGTGGAAAAAACAAAATCTAGTCTGTAGTAACAGATCAGGCTTGAGACTCTGGCAAATGGCAAAGAGCAAAATATTCATTTCAGTCGTTAACAAAAATACGTATATATTTCAGTTGCAAATAATCTGGACGTTCCAGTGTGAATGCAATCCGACTCTGAGGAACAAACCTTTTAGGAATATTGCGGGCCTCGTTGGAGAACCTCATCAGGCGGCCCTGGATCTCGATGCCCACGTTAAACGCGAGTAAGAAGTCCAGACCGCTGGGTTTCCTGCCGGCTGGCATCATGTCACTGAGCGCTAACACAGCAGGAAGGACGGCCCCTGATGGATGCGTTGCTGGATGCCAGGTGTCGTCAAAGTCCATGGAGTGAGTCTGAGGTGTGTTTGAAACAAAAAAAGTGTTTTAATTATTTTGTAATACCAAAAGCCATCTTTCTTAGTGGAAAAAAAAATCATCTAAAAAGGTTATGAACTATAGTTTTTTTTTTTTTTTGGATTTGGTGATACACTTTAAATAAACAACGTTGGATACTTTTACACAATGATTCATAACTACACTTACTGCCACTCCATTGACAAAAGCTGCCAATGTTGGGGAGAGCCTGATGCCTCTTTTTCCATACACTGAGCAGATGTTATCATGGCCGTACATGTGCTGATGTTTAAAAGAAGACAGTTAGTTTTAATAACAATAAAAATTAACATGAAATAATACATTTACAATATAAAAAAAAAACTTAGCTTTCAGTAAGAGTGGAATTTGAATATTTGAATACATGTGAAATGAAGTTAGCAACAAGTTGGATAATTAAATAAAAGAGACAAGTAGTATAAACCGTATTAACCTATTCTTCTCACAGCTAAGTATAAAATAGAAGTTAATTTATTGAAACTAAAATTACTATTGTAAATGTGGAGTCACACTTACAATATTTTGACATTTTCTATTTCCTACCTTGCAGTGTTGTAGCACCATTTCAAAAACCTCAGTTGTGCTACCAATGAGACCGACTCCAATGCTGTCCAGTACCATTCTTTTACTGCGGTGGAGAACCACCGAGGACAGATGCTGGGGCTTGACCTGACTGATAAACTTCCCAAAACTAGCAGTGACTGTTTCCTCAGGAGTCGGGCTCCTCAACTCTGTGGACAGGAGGAAAAAATTATTTCTCCTTCACCTGAAGGTGAATGAAGATGTAATGAGTAAAGTTTAGAAAGTTTATCTAAAGTAAAATATTAACATGAAATGGTGAAATGAGTTATACATTTACAAGGTACAAACATACATAAAGAATGCTGATTTTAGAATCAAGACCATTAAAAAGAAGTTTAGGATCTAAATATGTTTATGTCCAACACACTGAACTACACTTACAATCAAAAGTATTCAAATACCACACACTGCAAAGACTGAAAAATAAAATTATACGATTATGAGATATGCAAAAGAAACTCTTCCACAATTCAACCACAAAAAGTCTAAGAAAACAACAAAAACAAACACTATAATGAGCCAGAAATTCTCACCTTCCACAGCAGAGCTGTGGAATCTTCTGGCAGCCCAGATTGGTCTGACAGTTTTCTACAAGGGAATAAAATGTACAAATGATCTCATGCAGTCTTAGTTATCTAAGTGAAAGGCTTATCTGATCAGTTTCTGCAGGCGTTCTTTGTCAGGCACGGGTGATGTGAAGCAAGTGACTTTGAAGACAATTCATTGTCTTCTATTTTGTTATTATTAAACTAGTAAACCAGTTTAATAGTAACAAAATGCTCAGTTGACAGCTGCAGTTTCTGTAACAGTTTTTGTCTCAGAAATGAAAAGTGTCTTTTAAAGGTCATTAAAATATTTCAAGCGAAGTCATGATAGAAAACATGTTCATGGATTCTTAAATTACATAATTATTTTTTACCTGCAGCTTGAACATGATGCCTTCTTTATTTTTTCTTGTTGAAAACTTGTTTTCCCCTCAGTGCTTCTCGCGTTTTCTGTGCTGTTTGCGCTGCGTGTCTGAATGATGCTGCTCTAATATTGGGAAGGGTGTGACCTTATATAGTCCAGTTACTAAAACTCACCTCACAGGAACAAGGAACGAGATAGGAAATTCCAGGTTCTTGTGTTATTCATTGTAAAAAAATGTTAAGACATACTATTATGTAATTGCCAAAGTAATGGAAACTAGTGGACAACGTAAGCTTGAAACTCCGCCCACATTCAAAGAGTCTTATACTGGATAAACCTTCATCTGTGCATCAGGAGCACTGAGCATTTCATCTTTGAAGCATCTTGACCAGGTAATGCTTCAGTTTTATTACTAATTGTTTTCAGAACAAACTTATCTATTAATGTCTAAAAACATAAAAAGATACATTTGTCAAAAGATTCATAGGTTTAAAACACTACATTAGACATTTAGATATATCTGCTAATGTGACTAATAATATTTAATTTTGATTAGGAGTGGTTGACTTCAGTTTGTTTAAAACGTAATACTATAAGCAACAATAAAAGCCATTGTAAACTATTTTTTAACTGGGTAAACTATCTTTACTATGATGTTATTTCCCATATTGAAGGACTGACATTACTCAAGAAAAGTTGAATGGCATGGGTTGTGATGAATCACTGCTTCTAAATGCAATTGTTTTAGATTATATATTGCATATTAAAATGTGTGAAAATATTGAAAACATTTCCTCACTTTTGTAATTCATAAAAATGATAGAATCCAGACAGATATAAAACTTAAAATGAATCTAAAATGTATTCAATAAGTGTATGTAAAATAGCTGTGGTAGCTAATTTGTGTATTTTCAGAAATTCATGGAAAGAAACTCAACAGAATTGTACAAACTTAATCAATGATCTTAAACAGTTGGTCAGTGTACTGATTTATAGACTTGGTGAGGTGAATTTTCTGTGATGTTCTTCATCAGAACAAGAGTCTGTCACTGAAACCATCATGGCTGCATCTGATGGGTTTCCTGCCAGTTTCTATGGGGAACCGGGAGTTTTAGGCATGTTGTCAAATGGGATCAGCGCATTCCTTGTACTTCTGCAGAACTTCAACACAGCTCACAGTGGCAACGCTCCAGTTGGAGTAGAGAACATTCTCGCAGGTAAAACTGGATGCAAATAACTAAAGTATTTCCAAAACAAAGATGCTCTTTAAGAGAGCTTACCCCCAATTTGCAACGTTTTTCCAGGTGTACATCTCATCCTGATTGGCGTGTATGCCAGCTGGTGGCTGGCTGCTCTCCTTCCGTAAATATGACCACCTGAGCGGCACCGCCTTCATTGGCTACTCTGCTCTTTGGGCTAGTTATGGTGCAACTAGGATCTACTATGGTGCCCTGCCTGAAAGTCCAAATATGACATTAATAATAGATCCAATGATGAGCAATTCATCCATCAACATGATGAGCAACGTGTCTTAATAACTCCACGCAGTACTATTTATGTCTGTCCATGAAGGAGTCAGCAATTGCCGGTCTGGTCCCCTACATCATCCTGTCCTTTCTTCTTGCGTTTTGCTCTGCCACGGTCAACTACATCATGCCATTTGTCTTTGGAGCCATCACAGCCACCTTGATCTTTGAAGCAGTAGCTTTATTTGCATATTCCTGGGCTCTGATTGTCTCTGGGGTTCTGGAGTTGCTCATTTTAATCTTTGCTATCTATGGTTCAGCGGCTCTTCTCATCAAAGGTCTGACTCAACGTCTAGCCCTGAAAGGTTTTTGGCACCCCACTCTTTAATGTTCTCTTACTAGGGACACCCAACTCAGGAAAAAACTCAGAGTGGAGGCCAGGAGAAGAAGAAGAACACAAAAATATGCAGAGCCAATGGCTTTGGGTTTCTTCTGCGACTCCATTGCTCCATTCATCTTTGCTTTCTACAGCTTTGGGTACATGAAATCATTTGGTCTAGGTGTTGCCTGGGTCAATCTCAGTTGTCAGTTGTCTCCCAGCTACTATGCCCACCTGCGTCAAGATTGCTACCACACCACAAAGTTTGGGTTGCATGCCACATATTGGCTGATCAAAGCTTGGGAGGAGTTTGTTGTGTCTGTTTTAATAGTGGAGGACAGTAAAGTTGTCTCTGGAAGGAATGCAATGGTTGGAGACTGGTTCTTTGTGGTGGCAGCCTTGGTGCTCTTTGTAGGGAGCCTGAACATGGACGTCCTGAATTGATCCATAACTTGTTCTTTGTCCTGGTCACAGTCTCCGCAGTCCCTCAGATCCCCCTGCAGGGTTATTACATCTTCTTTGGAGTAGCTTGTTCTCTCTTCACTGCAGTCTCGATCTATGGCACCTTCACCCGTCTCATCAACACCATTGCAGAAAAGTCTCTCATACCTGTAGGACCACAACCAGTGTCTTCTGAGCAGATGATTAGGGCTTTGAGCTGTGGAAGGTCAAAGCAAGGAGATCAGGATGTGCTTCCCCCAGGTGATCAGACCTCAGATGCTCTGTTCTATCTTTCAAATGGGGTTGCAGCTTTGTCAGCTCTTCATTCAAGAAGGATGAGTATAAACTCTTCTCTCCTGCACCTGACCATCCCCTGGGTCCTGATCTCTGGAGCTATCATCCAGGCCTATGTCAGCAGGCTGCAAGTCACAGGAGGCGGCCGCTTCGGGTCAGTCATCTTCCATCTATGTTGTTGTCTGGGCAACGTGGACATGGTTTAGATTTGCAGGTATGTTAATGCTAATAGATGAACATAATGACAACATCTGCTGCAATTTAGACAGGAGTCTAATCTCCAATCCCTTTTATTCAGGTGACCAGCTTCAGCTCTCAACCGAGGCCAATTATGGTTTTGCTGCAGGAGCCATTGCCTTCCTTGTCATCAATGCTTTTCTTATGCTGATTGGTAAGTTTTATCTTTGCATTTTCTGTTGTCAATACTTCTGTCTGTTTGTTTTGATTATCATGGTAATCTTCTGTTAATTGGTCCAGCTGCTTATAGAAACCTGGTTCTTCTGTTCCTGACAACACTGATGGAGGTGGTTCTTGTTTGCTTCCTTCTCTCCACCCTGAACAAGCTGCCATATGAACTTGAAAGTAAGTTATCAGGAGCCACATATAATAACAAGCACCAGATACTTAAATCTAGATGGATCTTTTCACCTTTTCATCTCAATTGATGCACCTTTGACATTATTTTGTCCCACAGTTGCCATGCTTGCATTGGTGTCTCTCATATGCATATATGGCACTTTGGCGTCACTGATAAACTTTATGTTCTCACAAAGAGTGTTGCCACTGGGCCCTCCTCTCTTTAAGGTAATTACTCTTATGACAAATTGTTTGATCCACTAAGAATTTTCAGATGAATTATGTTGAACATTTCCTGCATCATCTGTGATTTCAGGAAAAAATGAAGTCAGAAATATCTGAGGAGCTTCCCTGTCCGGTGGCTAACTCTCGCCTCACAAGCGGCCTCTTAAAAATAGCTGAGCTTCTGGAAGAGGGAGGCGTGTGCGGTATTCCCACAGACACTGTCTACGCTCTGGCAGCCTCCTGCAAGAATCCCCAGGCTATAGAGAAAATCTACAACATTAAGGTAAGACACGAATACCTTTCAAGCTCAATGTGACATTTAATTTGTATTTAATTTATGGAAAAGACATCAACATAATGTTAAACATGGCTCTCTTCCAGGACCGGCCAGCAGAGAAGCCTATATGCATTTGCATTTCTAGTGTAGAGCAGCTGGTGGCAGCTAAGCCTCCGTTCAGCCCTCTGCTGTGGGAGTTCATGAGGAACGTTTATCCAGGAGGCATCAGCTGCATCGTCAGCAAAGGAGACTGGCTATTTCAACTTGGTAAAATTTCCCCCCAAGCTTGTAATCAATCTCTATAGTTTAGTCTTGGAGCTAAGCTAAAATGAAATGTCACAATGTTATTATTAGCATATAAATATAGCAATTTCTTCTTCTGCAGGAGTTGGAGCAGCTTACGATCGCGTTGGCACCAGGGACAGCATCATGATCCGTGTTCCTGACCACACGGTGACGTGCCACTTGTGTGACATGACTGGACCCCTTGCTATTACATCTGCCAATCCCAGTGGAGAGCCAGACAGCACCCACCACAGTATGGTCATCAAGTAAGATACTCTTTTTAATATAGCAAGTGTGCTTTGCATTTCTAAACAAAATGTGACATTTTGACAAGTTGGAGTTTTTTGGTGATTAGATTATTTATTTCCTCTGTGAATCATGATTATTAGTGTGTAACTGAACGTGTTGGTCCATCAGACCTTTAATTGTGTGAAATATTCTTTTGATGTACTGCAGTCGACTAGGGCACAAGATCCAGGGTGTTCTCTGTGATGGTGACTCAAATGAGGTTGTTGCTTCCACTGTGGTCAACTGTCTGAGGATTGATGAAGGTGAAACTCACAGCAGTTCCTAATTAATTTGTTTCAGATTAACTTCTGACATTTTTTCATGACTAACTCAAACTCTTTCCACAGGAATCATCGGCATTGTCAGGGAGGGCTGCGTTCCTGCAGCAAAGGTTCAGCAGATCTTTGACAGAGTGAAAGGCACTATGTTGTGATTGTCAACTTCTGAAAAGTTTTACTTTACTTTGACAAGTTCAGCTGCTTCATTAGTCATGTGTTTTTTTTCACTTTCTGTGTAAATCTATGTGAGTTTAGAGCATTTTACAATGAAACAGCTGTTCTGCACTGTTGGTCCAAAAGATGTTAAGCTACTGTATGTATAAAATATATTCAAAATAATTAATTAAATAAAAGATGTTTGGCATTTTTCTTGTTTTGTTTTTTTTAATAAAACACAATACAGTTAAAATGTTTGCATACAAGTTCTTAAAAAAAACTCCAAAAAGAAACATACTAGGGTTGCCATCTTTCATGAATGAAAATAAGGGACCGCCAGCATAGGTTCTGTGTCCCAGGACCATCATGACCCGAGTTGCCCAACTCTTGTAGTGTGTTGTGCCCGCAGTGGTGGTATCCTTTATTTTTTCCTGGAGATTTTTTTTGTAAAGGCATGATGAGTATCCAAAGGCAAGAGTATCCAAAAATGTAATCCAGTACTACTTCAACACATCTTTACCAAAGAAGAAGTGGAAAATATTAATCTTAAGAATTTGCCTCAGTAAAAAAATGTTTTTCCTGTGTTTCAACAATGTGAAACAGCCACCTCCAGACCATAGAGGCAAAGTAAGAAATGCAGGATACAGTCCCCCGTACCAATTCTCTATCCTGAAAAATTACTCCAGGCCAGATATAGTAGTCAGATATAGCAGTATACAGATTCTGGACAGGCGTTAGAAATCCACAGAAACACCAGTGAGCTAATATGACCACACGCACCATTGAATCGGTCACAGTGTCTTCTCTCACTATCCTAAACAACATGACCCATCTTTTCTCTCAACTTGAAAAGTTCATCACACATAAACACTATGCAGAAAAAAGCCCAGCAAAGAATGGACTTCCTGCAGCTTCTGGTCAACTTCTACATTATTTGTGTGTCTTTGAGTTTGTCCATCACTGTGTATTGTGGTTTGGCTCATCATCAAAACAGAACAGGTCCAAAACTGCAACAATTAGATCTGAAGAGAAGATCTTCAGGACTGACATTCCATCCATCCAGGACTGAAACAGTCCTAGGGGTCAGGAAAAGGGCAACAAAAATATGTGGTGACTCCACACATCCTGGACACAGACAATTTAAACTTTCTTTATCACGTCGCTGCCACAGAGCACTATTTACAAAAACCTGTCACCACAAAGACAGTTTCTTTCCACAGGCTGCCTCTGTGAGGAATAACTAATACTCTGAGTGCCAAGATCAATATTCATATTTGCACTAACTCAGCCTGCACTAACTTCCTGCACTAACTCAGCCTGCACTAACTTCCTCCTCTGTCAAAACACTGTATATAGACATATTAACAAAGAATATTTATTTCCTCTTTTTTACTTGATTACAGTGGGCTGGTTTGTTTGTGTTCACAAACTTGCAAAAACTTGTTGAATAAAATTGTCACTGATTCAAATATTATTCAATAAACTTAAAGTATTGAAATTGATGACAGAGTAACAACCTGCCTTGGGGTGTAATCAAGCAAAAATCATACACTTTGATGAAAATAAAGAAAATAACTTTAGTGTAAGAGGTAATGCTAAAATTAAATAAATATGCCAAAAGTAAAAAATAAAACAATTCAGTGGAAAGTTGTTTTCTGCCCAAGGAATCAGGAACATCATGAGATTTTAAGAAAAATAACAGCACTTAATCAAATACTCTTCTGGAACTCATAGGGGCTTTGCTGTGATAAATGAGTGACGATTACTCACTGTTTAGCAATGGACAAATGAGCATTGCTGCTTCTGCCATGATCTACCTCAGCCTTCATTTCAAAGTAAATCCAGCCAGAAATGGCCACTATGTTAGAATCTACTAATTATGAAAACGTTCAGTGTGTGTAATGTCACATTTCTACCTCAGCCTAATTAATTTTCCATTATTTATTCTCCTATTTTTTGTTAGATAGTTTATTAGGACCCATTGAAAGACAAAACACAACACATTTTTGTGAACAGCAACACTCTAACATAATTAAATAACACAGATGTCTGTTAAACATTGACAACAAACACACAAAGGAGGAAGAGAACCACAAGAGTCAGAAAATAACCATATATAAACATTAAAAATCCACTATTATGCAAAATTTACTTCTTTTTTTGCATGTTTCTGTTGTTCCTTATTGGTGTCTCCTGCTTCTAGAAACATTCCAAGAGCAAACTAAAACAAGTTATCTGAAAACTACCAACACAAGGCAGGATTTACCAAAATACCTGGACTGAAGGAAGGTTCTGTCCTTACTGACCGTCACAATTTTTCAGACGATGGTGATGTAATTATATAATGATGCTTTGTGCATTTCGTATTGTTGCTCGGCATGTACATGATTTGTCAAGTAGCATAAGCTTATGTTGAACGAAAGCTCTGCTAGTCCTGTGTTGGACATTATGTTACTCACAAAATGTATGCGTTTACTATCACAATAGATGCGACAGTAAAATGGAAGTGATAGTGGAGAAGATGCAGAGATTATGAAAATGTGTCGGACTCTCAACCTTGTCTGAATTTTGCAAATATATAGGTTGCATTTCTGAAAAAATAACAGTTTTGTGCTGAATTACAGTGCTGATGTCAGCTGCTTGAGTTCACATCATGGCACCCAGATCCAGGATCCTCAGAGTTTGAATTAACAACGACCAAAATGTGCGTCAAATCCGCAGCATTCAATCCTTCAGCGGTTGTGGCTTGATGGTTATTTAGGAGGCTCCACTTCTTCTGCTTCTGGGTCAAAGATGTAAAGTTGTACCACTGTGCATCAGCTCATTTGCTAAAACAGTGCATTCCTTAACAATCTCAAAACAGACAGAATTGATGAGGTGAAATCTCAATATCTGAGAATGATTTTGTGTATCAAATGTAGTGAAGATGTTTTATATAGCCCACAGGCCTATTCTGGTTGACTCTGTCCAAGTATAATAATGGAGCTCTAAGTCCCACCATGTAGACATCTCCTACATAGCCCTACACCTCTTTTGTAGGAGGAAGACAGATCTCAAAAATGTTGTTGTATAGATCCTGCAGAAAAACCCTATGCTCGTCAGAACAAAGAAAAAGCAATGAGGAAGAAATTCCTCAAACAAACCGTCACTGTTCAGGGAGAGACAATTTTATATGAAGACCTGCCAGATTGTGTCTTTGCCATGACAGGTTTTACAGTTAATTCATAGACGTTCAGTGAGATTAACATAGATAACAATAATCCTGTTGTTCAACTTGTTCAGCCCGATCACTATTCATCTTATGTTTTGGTATCACTTTATATGTTCAAGTGTCTAGTGAGATATTTTTCATTTGTCATTCGCTCATAGGGTGTTGCAACATATTTAATTCATCTTCTCCATTCCACTCTATCATGTATATTGATTTGTATCTTGAAGACCTGTCACTCAGTTAGCTTTAACTTATGAGGAAAATCCATAGTGTTTCTCACAATGTTAAACCAAAGACAATGAACGAAAGAAGTTATATTTTTATCCACCATCTTCAAATTAAACTCAATTGGCATTTTTAATGAATTTCTCCAAACTCAAATCCAGTAAAATTGGACACCGAGGTCTGGGGACCAAATACATGTTGCAAAAAACGTTATTTTTTTCTTTCTTTTTTTTGTGATACAAAATATGCTTTTAGGAATCTTCAAGGTAATTGTCATGGACACACGAGTAAGTCTTCATGAATATTTATGACTGTTGTCATAAAGTGTCATTTGGTAAATCGTGAAACTTTTCATATAAAGCTGACACTATTCAAAATGTCTTTGTTATGACAACTTGACATTAACCAAGAAATCATGGTCTGACATAAATTTGTTATGTATTATCATTTCATGTCATGTTTATATTGGTGTGATGACAGCCTTATTCACAACTCGTCAAATAAAGTGTTACAGAAAATTGTTAGAATGCTCTTCAATGTGTTCAGTTTCATGTCTTTAGAGTTTCACAAGACTTGTTGTTTTCATGGTGCTTCACCCAGACAAAACCTAAAAGTAGGACACACATTGCTGTCTGCACAGGTCTTTTGTAAAACCTTCAAAACAACGGATCAGCTAGTGGGTTGCAAATGTTAATGCATTGGCTGACCTGGAACTTTTAGATTTAAGTAAGACTACAGTTTTTAAAAGCTCATGAATTTTCTCTCCAATCACACAGTATGAAATGATCAAATGACTGCAAGAAAACTTGAAGTCAGATTTTGTTCTCATCCTAAGTAGAATGAACACTTTCTTTCTCCTCATTTTTTTAAATAGATTTTTTTTCATGAACATTTCCAACATGGCTTCAACTTCACTAAGTGAGAAATTGACATGCCTGATTTCAGTCGCTTACACTGAAATTTAAGTTAATTTTGAATTTGGTAACGATCAGAGCATTTGCAAATCATAATTGTCAGAAAGTGTGCATTCATGATGGTCATTCAAAAGTAAGATAACTGCTCACGAAAGGTAGATCATCTGACACACTAAAGGAAACTTACTGGGCATTTGTTTGTCATGCCGTTGAACCATCATTTCCCTGAAATGCTCTCAAATGTTTGGCCTTTTCTTCCTGATCACTGGTTATGACAAAGGCACAAGTTGTCTCTTTGTTATGTTTTACCATTATTTTCCTTTGAATCACTTGCCATCTGAATTCCAGAAATACTTTTTTGACGTGTCTCTCAGTTGATGTACTTCAGAAAGCACTCAAGTCCACAGGAACTGGGAGTTTAACTTAGTTACAGTTTTAATTTTTTGTTCTTTGTAATGTCATGAGACTATAAAAATGTAATCTATTCATTATCCAAATACTGTCATGATCAGATGTTTATATTTCAAGTGTCTAAAAACAAACAGATTGAACTGCAAATATTTAATAATTTGTATGTGTGCTGTATTCACGTTTTTGGGTTTTGTCTATCAATATACTTAAAAATGTTGATTGGATGTTAAAAGTGCGTATTTTCAGTTGTTTTACACTTTTTTGTTTAGTACATATTTCCACATGTGTTAATTCATAGTTTGATAAAATAAAGGAAACTCATTGAATAAAAAGGTGTGTCCAAACTTTTGGTCTGTACTGTATGTCAAGATTTTATTTTTGGCTGTACTATG